TTACCAGAAGCTCTATGAACATGTTTGAATGTGTATGTGTTGCAGGTACTGAACCAGGTGCATCCTAACCTGGTGTCCCAGCAGGAGGCGCTCCAGTACATCGAGGAGCTGATCCTGCTCCTGCTTAGCATGTTGTGCCAGGCTCAACCACGCACTGTGCAGGATGTCGAGGTGACACACCCAATACACACTTACAGACACACTGTGAATGAGACAGGACGTCACGTTCAGATTAATTCCTGCTTAAACAAACTGCATGAGTGCTATCTGAGTCACTGTAGTAGGTCTTTAAGTAATGGGATGGATCCAGTCTGGATCTAGCTTAGAGACAGTTGTGGGTAATGGTCAGTTCTGGTACTAAACCTTGTGGGTTTGGGGGGTAGACCTGTGCAGGACTGGTTCAGCTTGATTTGACATGTGGCAGATGTGAGCTTTTCACTTGACAGCCAAGCAGCAGGTGTTAAAGAGGGTTAACAAGGGTTAAATGTTAAAGACCCCCTAAGCTCAATACGATGCTTTTTTTAATGTTTATATGCAATAAAATATCAGACTTCTATTGTACTGAGTGGTGCCTGTGCAGTTTGTCAATAACGGGGTGTTTCCACATTATTCTGCTGAAGGGGGCAGTGTCAGTCCACTTCTTAGAAATCCTGATTTCCAACGACCATGGTCAAAGCAAATTTGTGGCAACACAAATCTGAAAGCCAAGCTTGCTATGCAAATGCAGAGTTCAACAGCGCCTGCTGACACCTAATTCCTAAAAGCTCTGAGCTGATCACTCAGAGCTCATTTTTGAGTATTCACTAAAGGTTGCAGTTTTTGTATGTAAACCGGACTCTGAAGCGTCTTGACACCATTTATGTAATTATTATTTAGCTAACACTGGGATGGTGTGAGTAACGTACTGTTATTAACAGCTTGTTAGCTTGTCCAGTAGCAGCTTGAGGGCTGTGGTTAGCCAGATGCTAATAATAACACAAGCACCTGGTCTTCTGTGTTTGCACCCGGTTGTGTTGAGACTAATCCTACACCCCCGGCTTTGGGTTTTAAAAAACAAAACCCTAATGGCTGCATTTCCATCACTGATGTGAGATCAGCTCTTACCAGTGAAGCTGTCTCACTCTATTGGAGTTGTTGGAACTCTAATTATTCAGTGGTGTTACAGAGTGATGCCTCTTTACCTCACAAATGATTTTCGGCTAACAGCAGACAGCGTGTTGTTTGTAGGCACGTTCAAGATGACCCAGATCTGCATAGAATTGATCAGCGGGCAGTGCAGCTGGTTAGTTTTGTGTCTGACTTGATCCTGACCTGCCCTGATGTAATGCTCACAGGATCGAGGTGGCTGCAGTTTTTGGAGCCAGCCACCACAGTTGTTCTCAATCAATCAGTCAGTCATAAACTTTATTGCCAAGTATGTTACGATGCAGTGAGTTTTATTCCAGTTCAGTGGCCCCCCGATGTGTACCAAAAAAAAACTCCTCACACATTACCCCCCTCACCCAGGAGCGAGTTCAGAAGAGTTTCCCTCATCCGATTGATAAGTGGGCAATTGCTGACGCTCAAGCAGCCATCGAGAAGAGGAAGAGAAGGAACCCGCTGGCTCTGCCGGTTGACAAGATCCACCCACTGCTCAAGGTATCGTCACTGCATCATCATCACTATCACTGCGTCATTATCATCACCCTTGCTGCATTATAACTATGGCATCTGTTTTTGTTTCCCATGATGCTCTGTGTTGGCAGGAGGTGCTGGGGTATAAGATTGACCACCAGGTGTCAGTATACATGGTGGCAGTGTTGGAGTACATCTCTGCCGACATCCTGAAACTGGCCGGGAACTACGTGAGGAACATCCGTCACTATGAGATCTCGCAGCAGGACATCACCGTGGCCATGTGTGCTGACAAGGTACCTGCCCAGTACACACAGTGATGCTCAATTCAGTGAGAGTGCAGGGACACTGTTTCACCTTTCTGGGTCTCTGTCTCACCTGTCTGTCTTATCTGTCTGTCACCTGTCTGTCTCCCCTGTGTGCAGGTGTTGATGGACATGTTCCACCAGGATGAGGAGGACATCAGTGGCTTCCCTCTGATGGATGAGGAGCCGTCAGCCAATGAGGAGCAGAGTTACTATGAGCTGGTGCGGAGCTTCATGTCGGACGGTCGACAGTACTTAAGACAGCTCAACCTGCTCATCAAGGTGTTCAGGGAGCCCTTCACCTCCAGCTCCATGCTCTTCTCTCAGCATGTATGTATCTGGTTGATCTGTGTGTTATCCTCCTGATTGATCTGTCTCTGCCTGATCAGTCTGATTGATCTGTTTCTATCAGGATGTGGACAGTATCTTCAGTCGGATTGTTGATATACACGAGGTGACTGTGAAGCTGTTGGGTCTGCTCGAGGACACGGTGGAGATGACAGATGAAGGAAGTCCCCATCCTCTGGTGGGAAGCTGCTTTGAGGACCTGGCTGAGGTCTGTACACCTGTACCCGTGTGTGATTGGTTATCTCTGGATTTTTGTGACTTGTGATTTGATTGACAGGAGTTGGCCTTTGACCCCTATGAGACGTACGCTCAGGACATCCTGCGCTCTGGTTTCCACGAACACTTCCTCAGTCAGGTTTCTAAACCCGGAGCTGCTTTCCACCTACAGGTTAGCCCCGCCCCCTGACTCTGATATGAGATGAGCTCAGTGTGAGGAGTTACTTCAGCTGCACCTGGTTCCTGCAGTGAAACTAATTTTCCCCACAGTGACAGGAAACTGTTCAACCATCAGGACAAAAGCTGACCCACTGTGTTAGAAAACATCGTTTGGGTCAAAGCTACCAGGAGTCTGTGGACATAAATACTGAAGACCACAACTCCCAGAGTGCATTTCACTGGCAAACGCTCAATAACAGATCTTCAAAGGCAGTTGTAGCCTATACTATGCTTTACATAGACAATTGAGATGTCATGATATTAAAACATGAGGCAAAAGCTGTCTCGCGATATCCGTACATAATAGAACCAGGCAGTACCTAGTATGACAGCGTGTGAGGCAAAGTGATGATTCACTCGCATTCCATCAAAAACATAACTCCCTGCTGTTGCAGTGCACAGGGCTGCATTGGTCAGGGTGTGAGGGGCTGCAGGGGGAGTGTTGTAGGTGTGTACAATACGGCCACATTGTGATTAGTCGATGTGAGGGGCTTCATTCACAATTCCAGCTCATGAGCTTCCATTGAGTTTTCGTGAGATCCTACAGGAGAGAAGCTGGTCAGCCGAGTCTGTGGCCGAACCTTCTACAGTGTTTGGATGTTGTTTTACTGCATGTGTTAATTCATTACAAGATGATTAGTTAAACCCATTCAAAATGCTCCTGCAGTGTTTCGCGTTTTGTGACTTTCAGTCAAAAGACTTTTTCCAGTCATGTATTTCGTCATTGAAGATTTCTTAAAAATAGTTTTAAAATATGATCTCGTCTCATTCTTGTAAACCTGATGTGGTTTAATTGTCTCATCTCATGAGCTAAGTGTATTGTCACACCCCCAGTGATCAAACAAACCATTGCAGTAACATTGGGGAAACATTAAAAAGCACTAACGAAACGTTCCAGAGCAGCAGCAGCTTCTCATCCTGACAGACTGTAAACATTGGTAGAGGTGATGACGATGGTGATGATAAAACTGTCTTTCTGTCTTCAGTCCATCTGTGAAGGTTTTAAAGAGGCGGTTCAGTATGTTTTGCCCAGGCTGCTGCTCACTCCTGTTTACCACTGTCTGCACCTGTTTGAGATCATCAAGGTGAGACCACTACACCTGTACAACACCTCATTACATAACAACATGTAAGTGTAGACCAGGAGCCCCCCCCGTGGACCCTGCCTGACAGAGTTCAGGAAGACCGGGCCTCCATAGAGATGGCTGAAGTGTGATTAAAAATCTGACTCACCTCAAAACATAAGCGAGTCTGTGGTCTAAATTAGTTCCTGTATCAGTAAAAGCACTGAAGAACCTCAGTAGTACTAAGTGACGTGAATCAGGTGGAGTAGCTTCTCCACTTCACTCTTAGATAAATATCTAGGTTTATGAACATTTATCTATGACTTCTGGTGTTTGTTTGTGAAATTCTTATGATGTTTCAACACGATGCCTGTGACAAGTTTCTGAATCTGTCCATGTGTAGCCATGCCCGTGTGCAAAATTCGGCCCATCTCATTGGATGCTGCTGTCACTCTCAGGTTGATTGACAGGTCTCCAAATACAGCAACAAGCAGCAGTCAACTTAGAGATATTAAACCAATTTCTGGATACCAGTCTGTCCCACCTAACTCCACCCTGATTCCCAGTATCAAAACCGATGTTAGCTACTTGTTCCCAGTCAGATCAGCATCTTGTGGGTCCAGTCCTGTTCTAGGACTGTTTTACTGTGCAGCTGTAAGCTCCTTTGTCCCAACAGAGGTTAAATCTCTGAAATACCTTCAGTCATGTTCTGCAGATTATTTCAGGGCTGAGGGGGGGTTTGGAGTGGTGGTGGTGTGTTGATCCTGATCTCTATCTGATTCTGGACTTTGAAGGAACAGAACAGAATACTGCAGACCAGGGGCCTATTTCAAGAAGGCGGTTTAACAAACTCAGAGTTCAAACCTGAACTCTGAGTTGACTTACTCAGAGTTGGAAAACTCTGAGTTTTCGGTTTCAGAACAGCTGAAAAGAGTTGGTTTAATCAACTCTGAGTTGTCTGACTCAGAGTTAGGCGCGTGCCACGCGACTATAAAAAGCCCTGAACAATGGAGTGAAGAAATTACGAGTCACCATGGCAACAGGACCAAGCCAAAATAGGTCTGCGTTTTTCCCGACAGAAATGGATGTGCTACTACAAGCATATAGTGACTACGAGCCCATATTCCGTAAAAGAAGCAACACGGCTGCAGCGGCGAAAGAGAGAGAGTTAGCTTGGGGGAAAATAGCTGCCCGAGTCAATGCGTACGTTTACATTTTAATCATACAGTGTTCGGTATAAGTAATTACTAAATAATGTTAGTAATGTTATTATTTGTCACTTGTAAAGTAAGGAATGGTTCTTAATTCTTCAATAATTGAATGAGTAACTTCAGTAATTGCATAAAATACCGATTTTTGTACGAATTAAAAGTGCAGTTTTATGTCTACCCTTTCTTAAAATTCCTATTGTGGTTGATATGGGATTTGTAAAGTAATGATTAATAAATAATCCAATACGTTTTATGGAGAGTAATTATTACATTAATCAAAATACTTTTTTAAAAATTGACCCAACACTGATGTAATAATATAAGAATTGAATTTTAATTTTCATGTAGGTGCATTGATGGAAATATGTGTGCCATCAATGCATCCAACCGCATTAGGAAATCCTGAAGGGGATTCTAATTATTAGTTTATTTCCAGAGGTCACAGCAAGATGTTATTAACTGATCATCATTTTTCAGATCAGCCTTACTGAAACGAATTCAATACCACTAACCTGCAATCCTGTGAAACTCCTCTTTAATGGCTCTGAGGGGTTTGTGCCCAGGAAACACAACAAAAATTCACAGAAAGCGCTTGAGGGCGAGGCACACTTTCCGAACTATTCTACATACTGTGGCCTTACTAATGGGCTCAAATAAAAATACATGTGGATATGACAAAAAATCAACTCGTGGCCTCAATATCCTCTCCCGACGTAAATGCAATTCCCTGCGAATTACTACAGCGTCCTCATCTACAGGATCCTCTATGAATGGACACGCCATTTTGGTCTCTGCGTGACGGAAACGTGTGCAATCTATGAATGTACTGAAAGATTAAATGAGGTATTAAACACCTTTCACTTTAAAAAGGGGCGGAGACCCGGAGGAAACTCTGAGTTTCCCGAATAAAACCTGCTCCCGACCAGGTTAGGTTCACAGAGTAAGTTGCCATAGTAACTGACTCTGAGTTTAGATTACCTCTCTTTGTGAAACGGGTTTAACTTACCCCGCTTCACGGGTTTAAGTTACCTCCGTTTCTGAAACCGAAAACTCCGAGTTGCCCTCATTTCGGGGTTAACAAACTCTGAGCTTCGACAAAACGGCCTTCTTGAAATAGGCCCCAGGTTCTGATGTATTCTTTTGTTTGTGTTCACCTTCTGTTGTCGGACCTGGACTGAGCTCTGGTCAGGCCTGGTCCGGATCCTGATCATGCCAGATCAGTTCTGGTCCTGCAGCTTCTGCAAACCAGATCTGTCAGTCTTTTGGCCAGGTTCTAGTCTAGTCTTGTGCTGATACACTTCTTTGTGGACCATATTCACCAGCCTCAATCTCTAAAACAGCTTAACAAGGTCCAGTTTGGCCCAGTTCAGGTATGGGTCTGACTTGGTTTTGTTTTTGTTCTCTGTGATCCATCTTCTGTCTCTACATTGGCTGAAAAGGTCTAGTCCTGGTCCACTGTCGATCCTAAAACTATCTGTGTAATGTTTGGCAGTTCGCTTGTCTCTGCAGGTGTGACTGACTTTTGGTTCCACATGTTGAAATACCGAGCTGCTCTCTGTTAAAGACAAAAGACCTGAAGAGGTGCTGATCACCGTCACATGATGTCACATGATGTCACAAAGGGGAGCTCGACATTAGTGCTTGCTTGCTTCCCTAATCAGAGGTTGTGTTCCTGACTTGTTGATCAATCAGAGGTTGTGTTCCTGACTGTATGGCAGTTCTGATCTCAAGCACACTAAGTTAATATTATATGTGTAATGGAATAATGAGTGCCATCTGTTGGCTTTGACTCAGCATTTTAAAAAAATGTAAGATATCTATCAGCCCCACTACTGTGCATTTAAATCTAAACCTGGCGTTCTTCATGGTGTCCTTTTAGATGTAAGGCGAAACACATTGAGGTTTAGTATTATTAGTCACAAAGTGGTTAGCAAAAGCGAGCCCATCGTTTTACATATATTAGTGCATGAATAGTGCTGTAATTTTCTCCTCTTATGTTGTTCTGGAGAGATAAAAGATATATTAATAGTCACTTTCGGCTTTTCCCGTTTAGGGGTCGCCACAGTGAATCGTCACTCTAACGACTCATATGTTGACATTTGTCACATGTTTTACGCCGGATGCCCTTCCTGACGCAACCTGGATTCGAAACCCGGGGCCTTAACCACTAGCCTACCTAAGAGATGTATTAATACCCACATTAATTAGCTTATTTCAGCACATCCAGTTTTTGTGTTGTGCTTTATTAAAGTACAATAATTGCCCAAATTGCTATTTATTTTCTTTATTTTTTTTATAGGCCTTCATTTTCCATTTTGGCAAGTAAGTGTGGCTACAGGGCAAGTAAAACATCTCAGCTGAAATCTGAGAGTCTGAAAAAGCTTAATGTTCAGCATTGCATGAGGTCACATGATGTCCCACCCTTGTGTTTCTGTAGCAACTGGAGGAAAAGAGTGAGGATGACGAGGATAAAGAGTGTCTGAAACAGGCCATCACAGCTCTGCTCAACCTGCAGAGCAGCATGGAGAGGATCTGCTCCAGGAGCCTCGCCAAGAGGAGGCTCAGGTACAACACCTGCACGCGCCTACATAAGCAGGCATACATCTGTATACAGATGGGGCTTCAGGTTGTCCAGGAAGTCTCAGGGTTCTGCATGAGATTCTGGGCATCGAGGTTCACATGTGGCACTGGGGTAGAACTGAAAACGACAGGATTTACACACAGTTAGGGTTAAAACAGTAAAACCCACAGAACAGCTTCACACACTCTCGGGACACACATTTTATAATGATATTCACCCAGTAGACCTCTTAGACCTTCTGACCAGCTGTTCTTAAGGGGGCCTAGATCTAGACTCAGAAGTTGTGGCGACCTTTGCGGCAGTTGCTCCTAAATTGTGGAATCGTCTCCCACTTGAGATTCAGTCTGCTTCTGACCTGGTTGTCTTTTGCTCTCTGCTCATTTAGGCAGGTTGATTAGGGTATTTGTGTGTTTAAAGGTAAAGAACCTTGTAACTTCAGTTTTGAAAAGTAATATGTAAACAAATTTTTACTTACTTGCACACAGACACACTCCCAGTACACATGCTCATTACATACTCTCAGTACACAGTGGTGTGTTGGACTCCTCCCATCCTCCCTGTTTCCCTCTGGACTAAAATAGACCAGGAGGAGGGAGGTGTTGGTGGGGGGTTCGTGAGTGGTGTAGGTTGGAGTGAGTGGAGGGCGTAGCGTCAGTATCTGGGCAGTGCCGCTTATTGTTCTCTGTTAGAAAGAAACGACTGCTATGGGCCGTTGAAATTGAAGAAGAAGAGATCAAATGGGTGGATGACTGGCAGGTGGATATGAGGACGTAGGTGACTTCACTTGTTCTGTCTTTGTGTGTGAGCTGCAGGCGGGGTGCTGGGCGACGCTGCTGCATTGGTCGGAGGTTTATGTTGTAACCTGATTAGGGAAAATAAAGGAGCTGACCATTGTTTTGTTACTGTCCAGGTTCTGTACCAGCCATCGGTCAGAAAACGCTTTTCTTTAGCTTCACTTGATTTCTGCCAGAGTCACTGTGGCTAGAGCTGAAACGTCTTTAGTCAACTTGGTTTTTGAGAACAGTGGTGTTTGTTAGTAAATGGCCTGCTGCTGCGTTCGAGGACACTCATACAGGAAAGGTCTGACTCTGCGGAAGGCAAACGTTTTCCTTTTGTCTGTTTTCTTCTTGCTTGTCTTCTGAGTGTGACAGTAAACTGCTGGTCCAGCACTTTGGACGAGACTGAAACATCAAACAACTTATGGATGATTGTGATGAAATGCGGTTCAGATGTTGCATTCCACTCAGGATGAACTGTAATAACTTAATCCTCTGACTTTTCATTTAGCGCCATCAGCTGGTCAACATTTTAACTTATAAACGTATTTATATGTGACAGAGAGCTGTGTGGATCATGTTCTCCATTAGAAACATGAGAGATCTGGATGAATGATTACAACAACCTGTGTTCACTTGTAACCCAGACCCTTCACTGTTCCAGCACTCACTGAATCTGAATCTGAATCTGAAACTGCAACAGCATTTTTCATTTCACTGTGAGTTTATAGATTTTATTTTTTAAACCACCTCTGTGAGTTTCGAAAATCTGTTCACGATGTTGGGTTAATCCTAACCTACAAAATGGTCTGCAGGTGGCCATGATGATGTCCCGGTGTGTTTGTCTGAGCTGAACAGAGGTCTTCTTCACTTGCTGTTGGAACTTGCGGCCATCACAGCAGCGTTGCTGGTTTGTACCAAGCGTGTCGTCCAATTAGAGCTCACCCAGCTGTCACAAGATGCAAGTGTAGAAAACAACCCAAAGATGAAATAAAGGAGCAGCTCTGTGTCAGTGTGTGCTTACCTGCTGAAGGCAGATGAATCATAGCCCACAGCTGCTTCAGTGTGAAGAGGAAGTAGTAGACAGAAACCTCACTCTTATTCATGCTTTGCTGGCTTTAACAAAACAATTCAACTCAAGGTTCAGGCTTTTTCCAGACCTTTCAACCATACCATGTGGTTTGATCGGCAGAGTGGGGTAGACTAAATTTGCATGTGGCACAAACCTGTTAAAGGTCTGAGCTGGATTGTTTTGTGAACCAAATATTACCACATTATGAGATAGCGGGTTCCTTCTGTGATGCTGTCAGACTAACAGAAAATAAAACTATCTGAAGAATCCACACTCTAACTCTACTCCAAAGCACACATTTCACTAATGGACACCTGATCATTTATGATCAGCGATGTTGTACTTACTGCTTAATCTCTGATGATGTTTAAGAGGAAACTATATTTACTGACTTTAACAGAAAAACTGTGCACTAGTGGTGTCTCCAGTTAACTCTATCAATTAGAGCTTGTTTATAGCCTGACAGGCAAAATCCAGAGCAAAGAAGAGTTCAAAGTGGACTCTGCTGCTTCCTCCAGAAACGTTCAGAGGCATTGTTGCTGTTTCAGTGTGTTTCCTGTGAAACCTGGGTGTCAGGAAACTGCTGATTATTGATGGTTGAAAATAACACTGAAAAGTAGAACAAAGCCTCTGTTCTTTGTTTGACTGTCATAAATATCAGTGGATCTGCTGGTTTATTGCAGTGTGTTCAGTGAGAGACTTGAAGCAGACACTTGAATTCATCAGTGTTTTTCTGTGGCCATGGATTCCAAAGCTGTGCAGTCAGAGGACACAACGTCATCCTAGGGCTGTGACAGTGGGGGATTTTAATGAGGTCCAGGACAAACCCTCCAACCCAGGATGAGATCGAAGGGAGCTGAGTGGTTTGCGGTTCGTTCAGCCATGTTTTCTAGTTTGAAAATGTCTTAATTTACTCAGAATTCATAGGAAATTACTCCTACTTAAGATAGTTGAGAGCTTTGTGCACCAGATATATTTTGACTGCCTTCACATTTCAGACCTTAATGCGCAGTGTTCATCTTGTGTTGCTGCTTTCCCGTCTGTGTGTGTCAGCGCCGTGTACCCAGCTCCAGTGTGAACGCCGCTGAGCTCCTAAACCGCACGGTGCATAGATGTAACTGAAATGTGAGCCACATGCACACAAGAACAACAACCAGGTGGTGTGTGTGACGGTCAAATGGCCCAGTTTCCTCCCAAACCACTGGGTTACGATATGTTCCTTCCAGTTTGTCCTGATCAGAAGCTTCTCTATAAACGTCCACCACATGTGAAACGTCCTGGTCTCTCCACTGACCCCGTCGCTCTCCTCCATGTTTACTGTTACCAGTCCATGAGGGGCCGATGACGACAGGCCGTATGTGCAGAGGAGGAGATGTTAAAATGACCACATGGATTCTGATCTGACCATTCTGACGGCACTCACACAGTCAGAGGTCGGAGAGGAATCGGGTCTAGGAGCACATAACGCAGGTGGCCCAGATCTGGTCTGAGGACAACTGGTTTGGGAAACTTTAGCTGGATGTGACTGTAGCTTTAGATGTCTGTCTAAAGTTGGGCTGTTCGTTAGAGGTAAGCCACAGTGAAAGTCAGTCTTTATGAAACCGACCCCAGTGCCTGTGGTGTGTTCAGGCATCCCGGGTCGTACTCATTTCACCAGCAGCTGTTATTGATGAAGACTGAGGAGGAGCTGTGCTGGGGAACTCCCAGTGAACTCTTCCTTTGATGTAAAGTTAGAGTTCATGCCTTAGTGCCAACACCTCCATCATTACAGAAAGCAGACTACATCTCAGATCCAGATTCTGTCAGGCTGGCTTCCTCCCTGAACACAGACTGAAGAGTGCTGATTAACTCTGTCTTGTTCTCCTTCTTCTTCTGTGGTGTGCAGCGAGTCAGCGTGTCGTTTCTACAGCCATCAGATGAAGGGGAAGCACCTGGCCATCAAGAAGATGAACGAGATCCAGAAGAACATTGATGGCTGGGAGGGGAAGGACATTGGCCAATGCTGCAACGAGTTCATCATGGAGGGCACACTGACCCGCATCGGTGCCAAACACGAGCGCCACATCTTCCTGTTTGATGGCCTGATGATCTGCTGCAAATCCAACCACTGCCCACCACGGCTCACCGGTACTAGCTCCACTGCAGAGTACCGGCTCAAAGAGAAGTTCTTCATGCGTAAAGTGCAGATCAACGACAAGGATGACAAGGAAGGTGAGTACCGGCATGCCTTTGAGATCATCCTGAAGGACGGGAACAGTGTGGTGTTTGCCGCCAAGTCTGCCGAGGAGAAGAACAGCTGGATGGCGGCACTGATCTCGCTGCAGTACCGCAGCACGCTTGAGCGCATGCTGGACTCAGCCATGCTGCAGGAGGAGAAGGAGGAGCAGATGAGACTGCCAGGGGCTGAGGTGTATCGGTTCGCTGAGCCGGACTCGGAGGAGAATGTCGTGTTCGAGGAGAATGTCCAGTCTAAGTCTGGGATCCCCATCATCAAAGCAGGGACAGTCCTGAAACTGATTGAGAGGCTCACCTTCCACATGTATGCAGGTAAAGTGTGCTGTCACACAGGTGAGACGTAATTACTCAAACAAGATTCAGTTCGTACCACAAACTTGACTCTAAGCTGTTTCTGATTTGATGCTAATTCCATATGCCAGACGATGATCTGTTGGTGCACAGGTAAAGAGCACCTTCAGATTATACTGCATTAAATTGTATTGACTTTGAGTTAACTGCAGAGACTTCATTCAGTCTGTTTTCAGGGTCAGAATTGTGCACATCTCATATCTGGTCCCCAACAGGTTCAGGTACTGTTTTAGGAGAATTATGCAATTGTTGGACAAAATAAATCTCCTCCTATTAAAGTTAGCTGGAAATTGTGGGTAATATTCTGAGCCACATCAGATCATATGACCAACAAATCCAGGGAGACCAGAGAGCTGCATAAATGCAGCAGGCTTTTCACTGGTGAAGGACTCTGTGCACCATCAGTGGAGCTGCAAGAGTATCAGAGTTTGATTCTGGCTCACGCTGTCGGCTGTTGCAAGGCTGCACCTCCATCTTAATAATACCATCATGTTTTGATGAGCTTCTGTGGAGGCAGCATGTGTTCAGAATCAGCTTTATTGGCCAGGTGTGACAAACACACGAGGAATTGGACTCAGGTACATCGGCTCTCAATGTGCAAAACAGTAAGCCAGCATAAGGCTGTGTAATATAACAAAATAGCAGTATTAACATCAACAAACAGTGCAAACAATGCAGAAAAAGCAGTATAAACAGACAGTAAACAATGCAGACAACAAAGGAATGTTCATTGAAATGAGATAAATAGGGATAAGGGATAAAGATGGTACTTAAAACTAGAGACAGTTGTTGATGGAGCAGCTGCATCCTGCACAGGATCTGTCACAGACCTACTCAGTTTGTGTCCATACCGCGTCTTTTTGTGAGCTCAGTGTCCGCAACGTCTCTCCCGCACAGCACCTGCACACCTCTGTGTGTGACCGCCACCTCCTGGCAGCTGCTGCCCAGTCGGGACTCCTCTGAAGGTTCCAGCTGGTGGTGCAGACAGGAGGGGTTCCTACGTCAGGAGTGTTGATGAAATGCTCTGACAACAACCCTGTGTCATCGTGAGACATTTGGAATGAATAAATACAGGCCGCTGACTTGAGCGTCAGCAAGTAGAGCTCCACATGGTGTCAGACATCAAAAATAAGTTAAATAGATCAGATCAGTAGCACATGCAGAAGTGAGATCTCAAGAAAGAAGAAATTTAAACCTGGAGCAGATAATCCTCATTATCTTTAAAACGTCATCTTTCCCCTTCACCCTTGTTTTTAGTATATGATTTTAGTTTTTTATGCTGTAGGAAGAAGTAATGGGGTTTACAGCTGCTGAAATCGTATTGCTCAGACTACAGATATGGACCTTTTCAAACAAACAAAGAAGGAGAGACTCAGTCACAGGGTAGCATCGTGGCAAAGAAAAGAACAAAGGGTGTATCAGAATGATCAGTGTATTTATTGCTCAGTGGTCTTTTTCTTGTCTCTGATCAGCCGATTCTGTTTTGCCCTTCAGATCCAAACTTTGTCCGAACATTTCTGACTACCTACAGATCTTTCTGTAAACCTCAGGAGCTGCTGGACCTGCTTATGGAGAGGTGAGCTCTGACTAATCCCACAGAATATTAATTTAGCGTTCCATTTGTTTAGTGAAGTCATTATGCTTGATTAGATTCTGATGATTTCAGGTCAAATGAGTGTTTTTCTTCCTGTTTGTGTGCACGTCTCTTACAACAGCTCGATAAATTTCATTCTTATTTCAGAGAAAATTGGTGAATGTGACAAATTAAATAAATCCTACTTGTCATTTAAAAACAAAACAGTGACACAAGATAAAAAGTTTGAATGGAAAAATAAAGAAAACACTGTAGCAGTAAAATAAAATCTCAAATGTAAACATATTAAACAACGCCGTCATACAGAGAGGAACTCGGACCTGTAAATGTTTCACTTTTCTGCACTGACTCTTGACTTTAAAACATGAGCTTTGTCTTGATTCTTTTTCGACATAAAGACTTGAGCTGATCTGAGGTCTGTGATGTTACGGTTGTATCAGGTTTGAGATCCCGGAGCCGAGGCCCAGCGAACAGGATCAGATGGAAGGAGGAGAGCAGCCGCTCAGCGCTGAACTCAAACGATTCCGCAAAGAGTTTGTTCAGCCGGTCCAGCTCAGGTAGAGAAGGACACCTGGTGGAGGGAGCCAGACATTGCAGCTCAGTGAGCTGTGAGGGGTTAACAAAGCTGTAACCCTGATCTCTCCTTTGTTGGTTTTATTTTTTTATATATTATATACATCACAAATGAAGTTACCAAAAATATCACAATCAATCCTTAATTTAAGGTTTTATTTTGAAAACCAGAAAAATTATTCGTGTCACTATGCATCACATGTACATAAATGTTAAAAAAAATAACAGCCATATCCCAGTAGCATTACTGTGTCTGCCCGCTGCATCTCCACTGTAAACAAGGGAATAGCAAATGTATTATTAGTATTATCATAATTATAATTTGTGACATTATTAATATCTCTCACACACACTTTTATATTTAGTTGTCTCTGTTACATTTGAGCACATAAAAACAAATGAGTCTTAAGAACACAGTTTAAGGAGCCCAGCACTTTACATCATTACAGAGGATGCTAGTGTTTTTCCTGTTGGAACGGTTTTTCAACAAAGTTGATGACTGTTGGATTTTAAAAGACCTGCACTACACGGCATGTTATTGTGTGCAGTGGGCTAATGGACACACGGGGCTACAGCAGCAGAACAACGTGAAGTGTTTTCACAAGAGTGGGTAACACAGATGGTCTAATGACGAGCCGTTTGGCCTATTCTGAAGTCCTCACATTCTGCACTGAGCTAAAAGTCAACTTACAGTAGAGGCTGATGATTATGATGACAAAACAGATGATCTGAAGTGTTGGCTCCTTTCACAGCAGTTGTTTCCTGCATGCTTTGCAGACAGGGTGATCATCTTCAGTTAAGTTTCCTTCAAGACTCTTGTAAAAACCAAAATACGCCCATGCTTCAGACTTAGGTAGATGAAAATCTCCAGAGCGTTGCCGCTCGGCCTGTCACTGTGCCGTGTTTTCACTGACCCAAACAAAGCCACTTTGCAGACTGCGCTTCTGTGTGAGAACCTCCGCTGATGTTGGCTGATCCTGGACAGTATTTAACCCTTCAGTGGGGGAGTTTTTCAAACTGTGGTAATCGACCACATTTCATCCCTATTTAGTTTTAAAGTTCTTTTTCGATATTTTCTTAATAGTGAAAAGAAAAAGTTACCTGGTTTTCTGCTCTAATTTGTCATAAAGTGGTCTGATCTAAGTCAGATGTGCAGACAAAAACAATGTGCTGAAGCTAATAACACACAGTCTTTGTGTCTTTATTAAACATTCCCAGTGCCAGGGGAAAAACAAAGAGGACCTTGGACTTAAGAAACCTCCTCAGACCAGTTGTTTGCATAGCTGTGGATCAGAACTGCACAGTGTTCAGGAGGACTGTGGGCCATTGTTCCTCATAGAGCTCAGGACTATTTGGTGTGAATGCTCTTGGAGTTCAGTCCCCAGCCGCTCTGCTGGGTTCAGGTCTGGGCTCTGACTGGACCCCTCCACAATGTGGATTTTCTCTTTTCAAAGTCATTCTATGGGAGATTAACTCTCATGTTGAGGGTCACTTTCCTGCTGCAGCACGGGTGTTTCCTGCTGCTATTCTGGAAGATTCCTTGATAAACCTTGAATTCATGTTCCCCTCAGTGACGGCAGCTGACCAGGCCCGGAGGCAGTGTAGCAGCCACTCACCATGATGCTCCCTTCACTGTTGGGATGATGTGTTCATGTGGGTGTGCAGTCTCCATACACAGCACTACATGTTCTTCCCAAACAGTCTGACCTTAGTTTCATCAGCCCTGTGAACTTTTTCCCAGTGGTGCTGTGAAGAGTTCGGCTGCTCTGTAGACAGACTTCAGCTGCAGTGATGTTTTATTTTGGAGCGCAGCAGCTTCTTCTGTGGTGTCCTGCCATGGGCTCCTGATGATTCCTTTAAGCCTTTGGCTGTTACTCTGGGTTTCTGTTTGACCTCCATGGTTGTTCTGTGTTGAGCCTTTGGACACATTTATTCACAAATGCAGTTAATTCCAAATGGTTTTCTTACTTTCTCTGTTTAGGCCATCACATATTGGTTTATTGGCTTATCTAATTAGTTGTATGTATAGTTGTACACACATTGTTTTACAGGTGTTATTTCTTGCTCAACTTTTGAAAGTTTCCTGAGAAGCTCTTTCAACATTCAAGATTTTTATTTGCCATTTATGCATAAACACACAGTCCAGTCCTCGTCCCTCTTTTGTGTTTATTTTCGTGTTTCCTTGGGCTTCTGTGTTTGCTTTTTTTTGCTATGTCTTCTTTCCGTAAATGCTTGTGGAGTTGAGCTATCACCTACAACTTTTATTGCATTTGCATCTTATTTTGTACTTTTTTATGAGCTTTTGAGTCTGCCTCGGGGGGACCATTGTGTCGTGGCCCCGACTGTTTGCTCTGCTTGCCAACAGTCAGCTTCCTTGCTGTGAGTTGCCAGGGATTCCCACGGGGATGTGACGAGAGGGGCGAGTCTGCAGAAGTGGAGCAAAGCGCTGGGAGAGGAGCTGGAGTGAGGCGCTGGGGGACAAGATGGACAAGATGGACAAGAGGGACGAGCTGGCGGAGCTGCAGCGGGTGTACAGGAGGAGAGGTCCTGCACATGCTTCACCGGGACTCCAGGATCTGTGGTCCGTGGTGGCGGTTCTCCACTGATCCCCGGGCCGTCTCTGCTGCTGCGTGCAGGTGCACGGTGTCTCGGCGGACACAGCACCCACAGCCCCTAATCTTCATCTCGGGGACCTCGACCATGCCATACCTCCCTCCCCCTCTCTGCCACCCTCTTACACAAAGAACAATAAAACTCTGGACCATACCGTATGCTAATGCTAGCAATGCGTACACTTCCGCCCCCATGACCATAGACTGCCCTGTCTGTGATTTGAGTGAGAGCGATATCTGTTCCTGACTTTCTCTGAAATGCTTGTACTGTCTTGTTTTTTGGGTATTCTCATTGTTTTTTTAAGACGCGCCGCACGGAGCGGCAGGGAGTTCCAGTAGCTCTGTAGTCTTTTGTGTTTTTTTCCTTTCCTTGCTTTCTGAATTTGTCCATCAAGATCAGTGTGTGGTATCTGTTCTTATGGTGTCTTGTTGCTTGCTCTCTGTTGCTGCTGGAACACTGGAATTTCCCCACTGTGAGATCAATAAAGTTCTACCCTACCCAGGCATATAGGAATTCTTGTGCAGGACTCTCTTAGTCAAAGAGTTAAAAGCCAAAAAAAAAGAAGAACACCTAGTCTAAATATAAAAGTAAAAATTCTACTGTATTTATTTAGACGCTTCTAAAGCTTTTGATCGTGTGAATCACAGGAAGTTATTCCAGAAATTGTGTGATGCTGGAGTGCCTAAATATATTGTGAGATGCTTGTCATATTGGTATGGCCACCAGACTAGGTGTGTCAGATGGGGTAATTGTATATCTGCACCCTTTCAGAACTGTAATGGGGTAAGACAAGGTAGTCTGCTGTCCCTGATTTTGTTTAATTTTTATATGAATGGTCTCTCTAAGGAGCTATCTTTGTGTAAAACAGGATGTATGGTTGGAGGTACAATAGTGAATCATTTAATGTATGCAGATGATCTGGTGATCTTTAGTCCCAGCTCAGCAGGTCTTCAGCAACTCTTAAATGTATGTTCTCTGTTTGGGGAGCTTCACGATGTCAAGTACAACTCCACACAAAAGAGGTCCCTTGCATTGCCTTCATTTAAGTTATCTGGTAACATTTTAACGGTGCGTAATGAAGTTAAGTACTTGGGTCATGTTATAAATGATTGCTTGTCTGATGACGGGGATATGTTTCGGCAGGGCCGCATGTTGTATGCACAAGCAAATGTGTTGGTTTGGAAATTTGGTTCGTGCTTGGATGGAGTAAAATTGACTTTGTTTAGAGCGTACTGTACCTCCCTGTATACTGCTCATCTATGGTCTGATTATAAAAAAGGCAGTCTTAGGAAACTGACAGTGGCCTATAATGATGCCTTGAGGTTAGTATTGAAAAGGCCTAGATGGATGAGTGCCAGTGAATTGTTTGTGTTATCTCGGATTAGTACACTATCTGCTATTTTAAGAAATTTAATGTCTACATTTATTTGTCGTTTGAATAGTTCTGGAAACATTGTTTTATTGCTGACTAATATTGCATATAGTGACATGCAATGTACTTCAGTACTTTGGAAACACCGGTATACCTACTTTTAAAAGGGTAGTTGTTTATTGGTTGTTGTTCTTGTTATCATCTTTTTATTATTTATTGCGAATTGTTTCATGGTTTTATTGTTTGTTTGTTTTTTTAGCACTTATACATCTGGACCTTGAGTCTGTAATAAAGTATCTATCTACGTATCTATCTATCTGCAGCAAATGTGTATCTGACACATCAAAATAACAGCTGGAGTATTTGCCATCAGTCTTACTGCAGCAGGGAAAAAGCTGTTGTAAAGTCTAGTTCTGGGTGTGATGATACTGTCCACCCTGCTGTGCCTGAGGCTGTAGGTGCAGTTTTTGTTTCTGAGCAGAGTGTGAGCTGGGTGGAGTGGATCTCTGATTATGTTCTCTGCCCTTTTACGACAGCGCTGTGTGTACAGTGTGTCCATAGCAGGCAGTTCAGTCCAAGTGATCCTCTCTGCAGTCTTTACGACACAGAGCCTTCCTCTCTGCCTGTGTGGTGTTATCATACCAGACTGTGATGCCAGTGGTGAGGATGCTCTCTACCAGTCCTCTATAAGCCTGGGTGAGAGGGCGATGGTTCAGACCAGCTTTTCTGAGCCACCTGATAAAGTATAGCCACTGCTGGACTTTCTTCACTGTGGTAGCTGTGTTCAGTGATCAGGTCAGATGTCACCTTCAGGCCCAGGAACTTGTGGCTGTCAGCCCTCTCCACCTCAGTCCCTTTGATGGTCAGAGGCAGCAGACAGGAGGGGTTCTTCGTGAAGTCTACTTATTTCTTTTGTCTTGTTAATGTTGAGGATGAGGTTTTTCTCCTCTCCATAAACTAGAATGTCATTCACCAAGCTTCTGTAGCCCGACTCGTCTCCCCCCTTGATGAGGCCCAGAATGGTGGTGTCATCAGCATATTTAATGAGGATGATGATGATTGTGTCATGGTTGGAGACACAGTTGTGGGTGTACAGGGTGAAGAGTTTGGGGCTGAGACAGCAGCCCTGCGGTGAACCTGTGCTGGTTGTGAGCTCAGCAGACACCTGCCCTCCCATTCTGACCACCTGTGGTCTTTCAGACAAGAAGTCCAGAATCCAGTTACAGGTGGGAGTCAGGACCCCAAGGTTTGTCGGCTTCTCGATCAGCCTACCCGGGCAAATGGTGTTGAATGCAGATCTGTAATCCAGGAAGAGCATCCTAGCATACGTAGTGCTGTTGTCCAGGTGTTTCAGGGCATGGAATAAAGCCAGAGCTGTCGTGTCGTCCACTGATCTGTTGGGTCGGTAGGCAAACTGGAGGGGGTCTACAGTGTCCGGGGCCATGTGGTTAACATGTGTGAGGACCAGTTTCTCTAAGGAGGGGGATTTTGAGGGGGTGTCTGTGTTCATCCTGTCAAACCTTGCATAGAAATTATTAAGGCTGTCCGGGAGGGTGGTGTCTCAGGGGGCTATGTTTGTTGATTTGTTCCTGTAGTTTGTGACTGCCTGGGTTCCCTGCCACATACTGCGTGTGTTGTTATTCAGGTAACAGTTCTCCAGTTTTTGGAAGTATGCCCTCTTTGCAGCTCTGATGGACTTCTGTAGCTCCTCCCTGTCTCTCATGTACTCCCTTTGGTCCCCTGACTTGAAAGCTTCGCGCCTCTTCCTGATTTTCTGTTTTATGTTCATATTAAACCAGGGTTTTTGTTTGGGCAAGACGATTAAACCAGGGTTTTTGTTTGGGCAAGGCGCGCACAGTTCGAGGTGGGGTGCATATGGACGTGCACCAGCTGATGTAGTCACTCACACTCTCTGTGTATTCATGGATAATGTCTGTGGCCCCTTTGAAGATGCTACAGTCTGTGGCCTCTAGGCAGCGCTACGGGCTGGCCTGTGTACAGTCATTTCATTCAGTTATAAAACTACAGAGTTTAAAAGGAGACAAAGACACATTGATTGGACTGATGTAAGCCTTCAGATGTTGTCTGTAACCTCCTCCTGTTCCTCCTCCTCCTGCAGAGTGTTGAATGTGTGTCGTCACTGGGTGGAGCATCACTTCTACGACTTTGAGAGAGATGTTCACCTGCTGAGACGACTGGAAGAGTTCATCGCCTCTGTCAGAGGTACATGCCTGTGGAAGCACCAGTTATGGGAGCATTGAGAGGATCATCCAGAATGACGCAGTGTCTCATAAGATTGTTACACAAGATGTTTGCGTGATAACTTCTAAATCTTGTGTGTGTTATAAACAGGATTTTTACCATAAAAATGCTTAGGCTCAGCACCTAAGTGTTTTTGCAGAGTACCTTGGCCCAATGAATGTAAAAAGGCGACATTTTAGAATGAATGTAAAAACAATGATGAGTTATAGGCGCTGAAAAGTAACTGACAGGTGACTTGATCTCAAAATGAGACTGGTGAGATTCCAGTCCAGGCCGGGAGAGCCCTGCAAAAAAGCTGGCTTTAACTTTTTTTTTTTTTTTTTTTTTTTTTTTGGTTGTTGCTTTTTGGGGATGGGGCATTTTAGTCTTCATTTCTTTAGTTGGTGGCAGTCTCTGTCTCCCTGGGACAAATGTCGGTGGTTGGAGTTGAACTGCGCAGACGCAATGTGCTGCCCAGTGTACATGGTGCACCGTGACCTAACTCCTCGCCTACAGGACGCCCCAACTCTGTGACTAAATCAATGACAGGATAAAATGAAACTTGCTGTTGTTGCGTCTGTGATCTCACTGCAACCGGTGGAGACACAGACAACATGCTGTCTGCTGTTCATGAGGCAGAGAGGCATCACTCTCCAACTCTACTGAATGAGTGAACTGAATGTTTCTGCGGTTCCAACAACTTCAACAGAGTGAGACGTCTTCACTGGTAAAATCATGGCAGTGTAGTATATTCTGAGATGTTGTGCATTCAAATGGTTATGAAGAGCCACCATCTGTCCATTTTTTTACATTATATTACATAAGAACCAATCCTGCACTTTCGTTAGCATTTTGTGTTTGTCCAGATGGGCTGCCTCCCACAAAGGATACATAAAGTAGGCTGTAACTTTGTTGGTCATTCTTGTGAATAGTAATAATAGAGATGGCTACGTTAGAATTCCCTTAGAGTGATAAGACGTTAGGTCTCGTCTAAGATGATAATTCACCGTTGTACATTGTAGATAAGTCAGAAAACAAGGAGAACCGCCATGGGCTCTTGAACCTCCAGATAAACAGATCCAGGATCAGTCTCTGGTTACAGGTGACACTGAGTGGATCTGACTGTAGATCAGGGAAAATGGCATTCAGGTGTTGAAACTGTTCAGACGCCTGAAGGCTGTTACAAGTACGTGATGTTATGTGTTCCAGGTAAGGCAATGAGGAAGTGGGTGGAGTCGATCATTAAGATCATCCAAAGGAAAAAGCAAGTGCAGGTGAGCATGCCCAGTCACAGCATCACCTTCCAGAACTCCCCTCCTCCAACCGAATGGCACATCTGTAAACCAGGAAACACAGAGCAGTTTGACCTCATGACGCTGCACCCCATCGAGATCGCCCGCCAGCTCACCCTGCTCGAATCTGACTTTTACAGGTAATACACCAGTAATACACAATTGTCACTAGGGGTGTGAAGATTCACTTAGCTCCTGAGACAAGATCATATTATAACACAAGTTTTCAGAAATCTTCAGTAATGAAATGAACTGTGCACAAACTGTGCATTAGCTTCTAACTGAGGCTGGTGACATAATCTGGCAAAGGCACTGCTTTGTCCAATCACGTACCAGGGATGATGGGGAAGGCTCTTTTGTTTACCTCATTAGCATGAGCATTCAGCGCTATTCACTGTCGAGTCTGGGCCACAGTTAACGCACCATAACGACACGCCATGCATTTTAGTTAGAAATAGAAATATCACCTTTTTGTATCAGGAGAACTCATGGCACAAGATCTCATCACATGCCACACACCTGCCACATATGTACCTGTCACACACCTGTCTGACCTCCTGCAGGGCGGTGCAGCCGTCAGAGCTGGTCGGCAGCGTCTGGACCAAAGAGGACAAAGAGATTCACTCTCCCAACCTGTTGAGGATGATCCGACACACCACCAACCTCACCCTGTGGTTTGAAAAGTAAGACCTCACTCTGACATCCTTGTGACTTTACCAAACACCAAAGGACCTGCACTTCCACCCTCAACACAAGTTCCCTCACCCAAAGAACTAATGTTACACAGAGCTCAAATTAATAGAGTGCTGTAGTAGTGAGCCCTAAAATCTGGAATTGAGTTTTCATTTTTTACACTTGTGGTTCCCTGGGTTTTTGGATAGACTTCTGAAATTAGGTATATGGTTAACACAAGGCTGGTACTGTTTTATGTTTTATACTGTGACATAAAATACGTTGGTAAATACCTCGCTCATTAGTTTTACTGCTTTTTCATGTCTTAAAAAAGGTGCTAACAAGTGGCTAAATGACACTTCAGAGGCAGTCTGGGATATTAAACCATCATCACGGAGTCTAATCTGCTCACTAGTCCATCTTTACAGCCTCGTTAGTTTTAAACCCACACACTTGCAAATTATTCTAACTGCAGCCATTATGACTAGCTAGATCAGGTCACACTAAGAGGAAAGGAATTTGTAGAAGAGGTAAGCGCTAAATCAAATTACAAGTTGGAAGCTCTGGTGAAGTCCCTGGTCCATGGTGTAGTTTGTTTATAGCATAACAGTAGCTTTTTACTTCTGGCAATTGTATTTGGGCATCAAAAATCATAAAAGTGGTGTTTACCTGTGAAGATTATATTGCTGAAAAAAACATGCAAGTGTCAAACTTGTTTGTCACAGAGCTTATTTTGTACAGTAATTTAAAAGCCCTTGGAAAAATCCCATTGCCTTTTTGTCAAGGGAACCAGGGTGATGCTGATTTCCAGGTTGGCCTACAAAATCTGTCATTCCTAAGGCACTCTACTCAACACTAAGGTAAAATCCTGACCATACTAGGTGGCTAATGCTACCAAAACAAACAGGTTAGCTTTAGATGCTAACACATCCAGAAAGAAGAGCGCCACATCTGGTTTCTGGTTCTGACCCACTTGGGCTTCTGTCTCTTTTCCCTAAATGCTTGTGGAGTTGGACTACCAGGGATACAGCTTTTATTGCGTTTGCGTCGTGTTTTGTACTTTTTTTTATGAGCTTTTGAGTCTGCCTGGGGGGACCCTTGTGTCACGGCCCCGACTGTTTGCTCTGCTTGCCAACAGTCAGCTTCCTTGCTGTGAGTTGCCAGGGATTCCCACGGGGATGTGACGAGAGGGGCGAGTCTGCAGAAGTGGAGCAAAGCGCTGGGAGAGGAGCTGGAGTGAGGCGCTGGGGGACAAGATGGACAAGATGGACGAGCTGGCGGAGCTGCAGCGGGTGTACAGGAGGAGAGGTCCTGCACATGCTTCACCGGGACTCCAGGATCTGTGGTTCGTGGTGACGGTTCCACTGATCCCCAGGCCAGCTCTGCTGCTGCGTGCAGGTGCACGGTGTCTTGGCGGACACAGCACCCACAGCCCCTAATCCTTATCTCGGGGACCTCGACCATGCCATGCCTCCCTCCCCCTCTCTGCCACCCTCTTACACAAAGAACAATAAAACTCTGGACCATACCGTATGCTAATGCTAGCAACGCGTACACTTCCGCCCCTCCCCCCTCTGACCACAGACTGCCCTCTCTGCGATTTGAGTGAGAGCGATATCTGTTCCTTACTTTCTCTGCAATGCTTGTAC